CCTCCCCCACCCCACCCCCAAGCTCTTGTCTGTCTTGTTCTGCACCGATTCTCCAGTGCCTGGCACGTGGGCAGGGCTCGCCGCCAGTTGCTGAATGAATGAATCGCTAAATATGCTCTCCAACCCCCACGTCATCAGCAGGGCAGATGTTCTCATTGCCAACTCACGGAGAGGACTGAGTGAAGGCCTGAGGTTTAAATCAAAGTTTGATCCTTGGACGGGCAACAGCAGCAGACTCTTGGGGAGGCTCAGCCCCCCATTTCCACAAGCCTTGCAACAAGCCCCAAGGATGCACAGATGTCGGGACACACTGAGGAATGAGGGGCTTGGACACATCCTCGGGTGCCAGCACCCCAACCCAAGACCAAGCAGACAGTGCCCACTGTCAGGTAAGCCCATCCTGCTGCACTAGCCACCTGGCGCCTCGACCCACCGCAGGCCCAGGAACCTCGAACTGAACGATACCGATTAGAGGTTTCGAGTCAGCCGCCAGGCAAGGCTGATCGGGACAGGATGAATATATGGCAACAAACCCGTGGGATGGGGGTGTGCAGCTCCTCCAAAGGAGTGATGAATAAATGTGAACGAATGTGCGAGACTCGGCTCTCATACTAATTACCTTTGCTGCCAGCCAGGCTCTCAGAATGTGACTCATTCAGATGCTCTTAAAACACTGCATCCATCTCTCTCCCTCTCTCTCTCTCTCCCTCCCTCCCTCCCTCCCTCCTTCTCTCTCCTTTCTTCCCCCTCTCTCTCCCCCTCCCTCCCTCCCTCATCCCTCTCTCCCTCTCTCTCTGCCTGCAGTGGGGCCAGAAGCCACCAGCAGGTAGTGGAACACCTCCATCTCTCCGCGAGCTGGGGCCTGCCGAGGCTGGAGAGAATGCAGGCCAGATTCCTTGCATGAGGGACAGCACTGCCTGCCTGCAGGCCATGTGCAGGGCTGGCTCCCCTCGCCTGGGCCCTCAGCGAGCACCGTGTCCCTCCGAATGAGAACTTCCACTTCCAAATCCTGTTCCTGCCACTCGCTAGCATCCAGTGACCCCGGGCAGCTGATTTAACCTTTCTTGCCTCAGTTTCCTTATCTGCAAAATGAGGATAACAGAACCCACCGGGTGGGGCCGTTGCAAGGATTAAAATAATAATTAGGGTTTAGGACAGTAGTAAACGTAGGGCGAGCACTTATATAAAGTGTCCGGTAACTAATAAGAGATGGGGTAATGCGCTCCTGCGTCTGAGCCCGGGGAACTTTTCTGACTGCTTTTCCAGGAGGGGCGGTTGCCATGGAGATGGAGTTGGAAGTGGGGCTCGCCCAGGTGTTTGTCCACCACTGGTTCCCAGCCTCCCTCTTCACACACCGAGCAAAGAGGTCCCTGAGGTGGCGTGAAGGGGAGATGCCTTCGGGGGTGGCCTGGCCTGGGAACCCCGAAACAATCCCCATCTCCCAGCAGGTGCTCTAAGTGAGAACCTCACTGTGAGGATGATTTTCCCAAAAGGAACCCAGGCTGGAGGACACCAGGCCAGCCTGCGTGCCCTGAAACTGGGTGTCTCTGATGAGTCGGATCCAGGACACCCCGAAACCAGATGGGAGCCAGTGTCCCATCGCCCTACCCACCGTGTGAAAGGAGATGTAAGGGGTAGAGACCCGCTCTCCAACACACCATTGTGACCGGCCTCACTGCGCCCACTGTCATCAGGGTTCATCGGAGGCCTCTCGCCCTCCACTGCAGTGTTCCCCACCCCCACCCCCCCCACCCCCTGGTGCCCAGATGATGAGAGGCATCTTCAACCCATCTTCTCTAAAGATGCATGGAAAGGAAAGATGAGTAGGGAGGGAGGGGCTCTCCTCGTCCTGGGCATGTTTACTAGCGCAGTACCCAGAATTCACACTGCCATCTCTCTGTCCAGATCAGGAGACCTCAGTGGGAGGGAAGCCAGACAGCACACTCCGTGACACTGGCCATTCCTTGACCTCTCTGACCCTCAGTCTCTTTGTCTGTAAAATGGAGATAATGACAGTGCCGCCTTCACCATGCTGCTGTGAAAAATACATGAAAAGCGCCCGGCAAGGTGCCTGGGACACAGGGCATAATAATTATTAAAAAGACAATCGTGATTCTCATTGTCCCGCTGGGGACTGAAAGTTGAGGTGAGAGGCGGCTTGGCCAGAGGCTTACTGGAATTTACAGGCCAAGATGGGACTAGACCCATTTCTCCCAACTCCTGACCTCAAGACCTTTCCACTGCACCCCTGGTTTGGCCTCCCCCGGGTCTGGCAGGGGCCTAGTGTTACACTGTGTCCCGGCCCACTCCAGTTATAGCCGCTGGTGCATTTCCTGCTCCAACAGGATTAAACTGTTACAAGGTTTCCTGACATAAAGCTCTTTTCTAAAACGGCAACCTCACCCTCAGTTATATTTTCCAAGTTAACACCACCTCATCATCTTCATTTCTCAAGGGTGCCCGGACCACCAGTCAGTTGGGGGGGCCCTTGAATTTAATAACCCTCAGAGGTTAGTAAACAGGATTGCCAGAACACAAGCTCTCTGCACACGAATATGCAAAGCAGCTCCCAGCCTGTAAATAAAAGCAATCATTGAAATGCAAATTGCATCCTTGGCTGCCCATTCGGGCTGTAATTTCAAGAAAATGTGACTAACTCAGAACCCCCAGGAAGCTCTGCGTGGAAGCGTTTATGGGGCCGTGGGTTCTGGGTGGGGGCTGCTTAGGAGGGAGAAGAACTGCTTTAAAGTGGGGGGTGGGTTTTAAAACCCGAGCTACTCCCTGCGTGGGCTCCCAGGGCTGGCCAGGCTCAAAGTGGTCCCCACAGACTGGCAGGCTGGACAGGGAGGGACCCTCGGAGCCTTGCCATCCCCAGAGACAGAATGTCAGGGAAGCTGCTTTCCATGTCCTTGTTGAGGTTAGAGGCGCTTTTAAAAATCAGATTCTGTGGCTTCCTGCTCAGATTTCCTCTAAGGGTTCACTGGCCCAAGGAGAATAAAACCCAGACTCCTTTCTGTGGCCCAAAAGATCGAGGTCTGGCTGGTCCCAGCCACTCATCCCCCCTACCCCGACACACACACACACACACACACACACACACACACACACACACACACACACACACCTGCCTTGGAGTTCCAGCCACAATGGCCTTTGTTCAGTTCCTCTAACTTCGTTCTGCCTGGTTCGGTCTGCCCCCCCAAGATCTCCCTGTGGCGGGGACCTCCCATCTTGAGGGGCTCCACTAAAACGTCACTCTCCCCAAACAGTCTTCCCCGTGTACACAAATCCTTGTCACTTTCTTTTACGGCATCCTATTTTACTTTCCTGGCAGCCCTTATCCTAATGGGAAGTTGTATCTATTTACTGTATATCTATCTACTTGTTTAGTGTTTGCTCACCACCTCCCCAGAGCCCTGGAGAGCAGGGCCTTGTCTGTGTCATACACCGCAGTGCCCCGGCACGGTTCTGTAGTTGGCGCACTTATTTAAACAACAAATTAAGCAATAAAGATCTCGAGCTTCTCTTTCTAACAAGACCGCTGGTCTTGCTGACTTGTGCCCCAAATGGCGAACCCTTCCATCTTCTCCCCTTCTCAGCTCAGCTGACTCCTTCTCAGACTTAGAGCAGGGAACGGATAGCAAACGTCCACTCCGGAGTCTAGAAACAAAACCGGCCCGGTGGAGGGCTTCCAGCCTACAGACGCCGATTTGCATTCAGTTTCCGTGCTTTCCTGTACAGCTTAACTCAAAGTCTGAATCTTCCCAAAGCCCCGAGCCCACCGAGGAAACTTCTGAATCAGAGTTCCGAGGCTGAAGTTCCGAGGCTTTTGTGCCAAGTTCCCCCGCCCCCAACTTCTCTGGTCTTTGCGAGGACCCCCAGTTCGT